CAACCTGTTCTACGTTCCCACAAAATGCTCGGAGGAGAGTGTGAGACACCCTATATATATATATATATATATATATATATATATATATATATATATATGTTTTTAGTATATCTATTTATGTATATCTATGTATCTTTTCTTTTTCGTATAACATTGAAATACCTACCGTATCAACACGATATCAGTTTCGAGACGATATTATTCGTTACTTATTATTAAAATAGCCTTATTGTCCTTTGAGAACAGACTCCTTTACTTTTCCTCCAACAATGCAACTTTATTTCAGGCTACAGACCCGTGTCTCCGATAAATCTCGCTCAATACATTATCTATTGTATCTATTGTATTTCCGAGTTATCCACACGGGTGAGCACAATGTTCCATTGAAAAGAATCACGCGCGTCGCAAACAGCGATAATGAAGTTACGTTCTTGAAATACTCTCTCTGTGCCGATTTCACGTGTCTCGAGCAGTTCTGATTTCAGCGTCCTCGACACTGCTCGGGACAAGAGGCGCGTGCATCGATTTGCGTAGCCATCATCACGTGTCGATAAAATAATTAACGCCAATCAGAGGCTGCGTCACGTCGCCGCACGGGCAATCTGCATCACGAACGACGAGATAATTAGCGACTCGCAAGACTGATAATGAGTCAAACAAACGATCGCAACGTCCACAATCTCATCACTCATCCACGTGCGATATTTGCGGTAAACAATGACGGTAAGGTGCGACGCGATATCACGGATTCAGGTAGTCGCGACTTTATCGAGCGTTACGCAATGCTGGAGAGATTTTGCGAATTCGACGTGCCCAAGGCACGCTACACACACACGTATTCATACATATACACACACTCTCTCTCTCACACACACACATTCTCTCTCTCCGTCTCGCGTCTTTCCCACTCACTCCCTCTTTAGCGGTCGCTTTATTCCGCGCCGAGAGCGAGAATAATGGTTCAACGGGTAGCAGTGAATAGAGCATCAGTGTGCAAAGAGAGAGAGAGAGAGAGAAAGAGAGAGAGAGAGAGAGAGAGAGAGAGAGAGAGA